GATTCAAGAGAGAGGCCGGGTGCTTCAGAGCAGCCCTCTCTGGGTGAACGGGCTGTGCAGGGCAGCAGCCCCTGTACTCAGCTCTAGGGACTGCGAACGGCCAAGGAAATAGATCAGTGGTTCCCAAACTTTTGGCCTACCTCAAGGGTTTAGAGCAGTGGTTCCCAAACTTATTTGGCTTACTGCCCCCTTTCCAGAAAAAATATTACTCAGCACCCCCTGGAAATTAATTTTTTAAAAATTGTAATAGCAATTAAACAAAGATATATGTATTAATGTTTCTACCTTTTTTGTAAAATATAGTAAAGAAAGGTGTAAGTTAGAAACATTGAAGTTAGAAATTATGAAACTATTTATTGAACTCAGAATAGAAAGATAATACAAAAAAGTTAAAACAAATGCACCTGTGGCCATCACCGCCCCTCTGCATCGCTGCAGCACCCACCAGGGGGCGGTAGCTCCCACTTTGGGAATCACTGAAATAGATAAAGAGCGACCCAGCCTCCTCTCTGGCGGTCACCCCGCCAAACTCGCAAAGGCTGCCGGGAGCAGAGCAGGCAGGCCGCGTGCGGTGACCCTTACTCCTCAGGTGGTGTCTCAGAGAGGCCAGGGCCTTTGGGTAATGGAGGAGGGTACAAAGAGGGCCCCCGTCTCTACCAGGGTCCAGGGCTGTTACACTGAGGGAGGTTGTGGGTGTCAGGGCTGGGAGACTACGGCTTGTTGCCATGTTGAGTTGCACTCACTTTCTCCCAGGCCATCTCAGGGAGATGACTGGTCAAGTCAAAGGGGGCAACCGCAGGTCAGTGGAGAGAGGATTTCGTGTTAAATTCGTGTTGTGCCAGGTTTCAGGGACAGACCGTTGAGGCCTGTGGGCATGTGCCACCCTGGGCCAGTGGGGCCACAAGGAATCCTCCCTGCCTTAGACAGTGTGCCTCCGCGTTACATGGTCGGCCTGCACCAAAGGCTCCTGGAGTGGGTCTTCAGTCATGGGCAGGTTTCTGGGTTGAAGGTGGACCCCCTCCCAATTGGGGCCCTTGCAGAGGCAACCAATTGATCGGTTGTTCTCACATCAATGTTTCTCTCCCACTCTATTTCATTCCCTCTCTCTAAAATATTCAATGGAAAATCCACCCTCCAGTGCCCCCCCCCCCTCCCTCCTTTTCTTCCACTCTCTCAAACAAAAAACTTGGACAAGGGAATTAAAGACTGAAAGAAGTTGCCTGTTTGTTTTTTTTCTGGTCTAGTAAGTAGGGGAAAGGATGAGAAAGATGTGTAAGGTAATAAACGTATTAACCAGTGGAAAAATAAATAAATAAATACAAAAAAATACGTGATAACTATCCTCCAGTGAGGATTAACAAAACAATCAAAACAAGAATCTTGTCCATTTTCAGCACTGGTGCACCTCAAGAATAGATGTCAGGCAGGAGTGCCCATCAGCCCTCAGTAAGGGTTAATAGTGAAATTAGTGCCTTGGTCTGAGGGGAGTGGTACCAGGCCAGCAGAGGGAGAAATCATGACCTCAGCACGAGTCCATTTGAGACCTCAGAATTGGGTCCTGTGTGGCTTGACTGACAACTGGGGATCCAAATGAACTCATGACATAAAGGACCCCAACAAATTCTCAGCACTAGGTATCCCCTGATGGGAAGGTGAACTAAAGTTTCTCTCCAGTTCTTTCTCCTAGGTCCCAGGGAGCATTTTGGTGGCAGCATTAGAGCAGCAGAGGGTAGGTTGTCTAGGCCCTTCCCATTATTGGTACGGTAATACTGAGGATAAAGAGGGATGATGCCACATGCCAGGACAAGGAGGGGCTACACTGAAATCACCTACTGTCACAAGAGTAAATTCAAGGCAGGGATGATAGTACATAGTGTGGATTTGACTCTAAAATTTATCTGGTTTCTCAGTGGGATTTTTAAGGGCCAGACTGACCAGGAAAACAGGAGACTTGTGGGATCCTAGAATAGTGCCCTCAAGGAAGCCTGAAGAGGCACCCTTCAGGAAATGCAAGGTGAAATCTTCCTGTTAAAGGTGCTCAAATTACCTTATTCCCCACCCACTAGGTGCCCAAATCACCTGTCTGCTGTCCTAAACAAGAGCCATCATGCCTCGTGGTCATAAGAGTAAGCTCCGAGCTCGGGAGAAACGCCGCCAAAACAGAGCTGAGAAACAAGGTGATAAGAGTGCTCAGGCCCCTGCAGGAGAGGAAGGAGAGGCCGCTTGCTCCTCCTCTTCCGTTTCGGGGGAAGGTCCCTCAACCTCCACTGGTGCTGGCACTCCCCAGGCACCTCAGGGTGCCCCAGCCACCACCAGTGCTGCTGCAGGAGCTTCAGATGAAAGATCTGCTGTAAAAGCCAAAGGCCAGGTTCAGAAAAGTAAAAAATCCCCCCAGGCCTCAAGCTCCACTGGTGCTGGCACTCCCCAGGCACCTCAGGGTGCCCTGGCCACCACAAGTGGTGCTGCAGCTGCCTCATGTGAAAGATCTGCTGTACAAGCTAAAGGCCATGTTAGGAAAAGTAAAAGTTCTTCCGGGGCCTCAACTTCCACTAAGAATGCTGGCCAAGATCTTATAAATCAAAAGGCAATTATGTTAGTAGAGTACCTGCTGCATCAATATAAAAAGAATGATCTCATTAAAAAGGAAGACATGATGAAGATCATCCACAAGTGGTTCAGGAAGGACTTCCCTGAGATCCTCAGGAGAGCCTCTGAGCGCATGGGTCGGTTGTTTGGCCTGCAAGTGAAAGAAGTGAAGCCCAACGGTAATTGCTACACCCTTGTCGACAGTGAAGATGAGAGTCTGAGCAGCGGCTTCAGATTTCCTAACAAAGGGATTCTGATGCCTCTCCTGGCTGTGATCTTCTTGAATGGCAACCGTGCCTCTGAGAAGGAGATCTGGGAATTCCTTGATGATTTGGGCATCTATAATGGAAAGATTCACTTCATTTTTGGGGAGCCCAGGAAGCTTATCACCCAAGATTTGGTGCAGGAAAAATACCTGGTGTACCAGCCGGTGCCCAACAGTCGTCCTCCACGTTATGAGTTCCTGTGGGGTCCAAGAGCCCACGCTGAGACCAGCAAGATGAAAGTCCTCAAGTTTTTAGCTGATCTCAATGATACCCTGCCCACTGACTACTCACCCCATTATGAAGAGGCTTTGCAAGATGAGGAAGAGAGAAAGCAAGCCAGAGCCCAAGCTGCAACCAGGGATGCCACTCCTCCCAAGGCCAGTGGTGGCTCCAGTGTAAAGCCTAAGGTTCCTAAAGTTTGAGCTTGATAATATATCCAACTGCTGCCCACACTCTGAGTGAACTCGAGGTGGAGTCTTCAGTTTTTGGATGAAAGGCTTGTTAAGCAGTTTCCTAATATGCAAAATATCTTGTTGGCTTATCTTTGTTTGTTTTGGGGGGTTTTGCATTTTCAAATGATGTTCTTTTAGACAAGGTGTGGGGAACCTTTTTTCTGCCATGTGCAGTTTGGGTATTTAGAACATTATTCGTGAGTCATACAAAATTATCAACTTTAAAAATAGTCTGCTGGTTTTGGTCAAACATTTAACTAACTCACCGCTAATGCCTTGGCAGGACCAGGTCAAATCATTTTGAGAGCATATGTGAACCACAGGCTGGAAGTTTCGTACACCTGTTTTAGACAAAATGTTTGTTTAGATATAAAACATAAGAAGTTTATGAATGACACGGATTGCACTTTTATTACTGTCTGTCTAGTTAAGGGTAAGAGTTTTGTTTTAAAAATAAAAATTGGAAATCCTTCAAAATGTTGTGTGATTCAGAACAGGATAGTATGGCTTTTGGATAGAAATATATTTTAAGATGTGAACGAACTGTACTCTAAAATACGTGGGAGCAGTAGATAGATATATAGGAGGATAGATAAAGTAAAAAATTGGCCACTTCTGTTTTATTTTGTTGTTAAATTACACTTGACAATAGTATACTAGTGGCATATGTGCAGCATAGTGATTAGACATTTATATAACTTAAAAGTGTTTGCCTCTAAGTTTAGTACCCATCTGAACAGTAAGTCCTTAGTTCGTTATTGATTATATTACCTACTCTGCACCCAGCATTACCTGTTACAGCCAAGACATGGAATTGTTCATCTGTAGACAAATAGATAAAAAAAGTTGTCGGACATATATAAAACTAGTCACTTCTTGTTTGCCTTACTACATTTAGTCTTTCTTTTAAAATTTTAAAAACATACACCTGGAGTTGCTTATGTTTTTCCATAATGTTTGAGAAAATAAATCTTAGTGGATCAGACCTCTTGTTTCATGCCTTTTATTTTACACATTTATTAATTGAGTATCAGCTCTTTGAAAGTCTTCATGTTCTCACTGGGGATGTTTCGGCAAAGAAGCCCCTGCCCATGCAATTATAGGTTATGGGAGAAGCTCTAATTACAAAAGAGAGTGATATATTCTTCACTTCATAAGGAACAAGTGTAAAGGGGAATAAGATGGGTGGAGATAACATATTACTGTTCATTGCTAAGCAGAATTTTGTCTTATTATGTGTATGTTTTTTTCTAGAACACTGCATATTTCCTGACATCTCTTGTATGTAAAAAAATACTCCAGCTAGATGTATGATAATATCTGAGGTCACAGATAATCATAGTAATAATTGCCTTTCCCTAATGTGAATACAACAGGCACAGTGACAGGTGCTTTCTATCTGTTACATATATCCCACCAGTCCTATAAGGCAGTGCTTGTCAGACTCACTGTACAGTGTAAAGCTCGAGGCTCATAGGGTAATTCACCAGGCTCATAAAGTACAAAGCTGGAAATTGACTCCAAGTCTAAATTACAGTAAGTCCACACTGTTCTTCTCCCACCCTGAGACACACCCTGTGCCTTTTATTTCAATTTTCTTCTCATTACTTCAAAATCTATTTGAAGTGATAAAAGGAATGGCCCTGTTCCCAAACTACTGGATTGGAAAACATAGCCAGAACAATAAGAATACCATTATAGTTAAGAGATAGAGATAAATAATAAATGAAAGAGACAGTGTTCTGTGGCAGTATGATTGTCTGCATTTGAAATGTTAGATAACCTCAATAGGTCAGGGGCTCTCAAAATTATCCTGGACAGTCCCTTCCCTGTAGAAAGTAAACCTATCAGAACAGAAGTTACGTGGAAATCTTCATCTGGCTGATGACGAGAAAGAATAGTTCAATGCATTTTTTTTTCCCCAGCCAACCCCGCCACCTGCTCAGGGACTCCTGCCTTGTGCTACAGTTTACTCCTGGACAGGGACCTATTCTCTGCAAGGTGTGTAAAGTGGAAACTGCTTCAGAGTTTGCAGAGATGTGGAATTTACCAGGAAGCCTGTAATCCAAGAGATAGGAACCAAGATGAGGGCCCCACATAGGGGGACAGGGGAGACCAACACCTCAGAATAGAGGAGATCACAGGGACACCGGTCCCATGTGCTCTCAAACACAAAGAGCCTCAGAAACAACTGTCAGGCTGAACATACCTCCCCTTCCATATTCTGGCTTCTTAGGGGGATAAGAGCCCTGGCCTAAGAGCAGAGTTCTCAGGTCATTAGAGGAAGGAGTATAAGGTTCTCATAGAAATGGCAGTGATACACCTTAATGAGGATTATGGCAGGGCCCAGCCAGAGCAGTCGGATCTCTAGAGTCCCATCCCAGTGGTCAACCCTGTGAGGTTCAGTCTTTGGCCCTGTCAGGTTGTTTGTGGCTAAAACTGATTTTCAAGTCAGGCCCCTGGAAAGTGTTTTTCTGCAGGCTCAGTTCAGCAGAGAGTGGAATCCCAGGACGGGGGCAGAGTCAAAGTAAACAACTTGAATGAATACAAAATAACCCACAATTGACAGGGCTGCAATTAATCCCTCCTCCACTGTTATCACTGGGAGGCAAGGGCAAAAGCGGGCAGGCTCAAGTCCTCCTTGTATTTTGCCTGCAGGGTTTCAAGGAGATGAGAACAATGGTGTACAGACTGGATCATCAGCAGAGAGTGAAATCCAAGGCATGACAGTGTCATGGCAAAAATCCTGTATGTGGAATTAGGCAACCAACTGCTCCATAGCAGGTATGTCTTTAGAATGTTCCTATCTGTAGTTGGACCTGGAAGGTCAGAGGCGGAGCTTCCAGGTGAAGGTTAACCCTCATTTCTTAAAAGGGGGTGGTCTCAGGGACTTAACATCCTTGGACTAATGAGGGAGGCCCCATTCTGTAAAGGAAGGGTACCCCGTTTCTAGCAGGATTCAATATGATGACATGGAGTAAAAGTGGGTGTATCTCTCCCAGAAAGAAGGGGGCCACATAGAGCCCTGTATGTGTTGTCAGACTTGAGAACATATCACTTAGTCATGGTGGCATGATTAGTCAATACTCATTTTCTCCCAGAAGTCTCATGGAAGTGAGGAACTTCGTCAAAGTGGGCAGCCACAGATTCTCCCACAGATTATATATTATATCGTCTGATGAGGATGTATTACAAAATTATCCTTGCTAAGCAGACTTTTTGGTTATTGCAATTTCTGTGTTTTGGAGTTTGGTAATATGTTCAAGTTCACAGGACTAATAAGTGACAGGGCTGGGAGAAGACTCCTGCCCTGATTTCCTCTAGAACCCAAACTGTTCACTCTACTCCTGTCTACCTAAAGCAGACTTAGTGTTCCTTAATATTCCAAAATGTACCTCAGGGAATAAAAGTAAGGAGTCAGTGCCCAAAGTATTGGATTGGAATGCAGAGCAAAAGCAACTAAGAACACCACAGGAAAGTGAAAGTTACGAATAAAGAGGAGAAACATTTTCAGTGACAATGTAGCCATTTCCATCTGCAGAGTCAGATAATTTCAAAATCAGGGATTCGCAGAGCCCTCCTGACAACTCCTGTCTGTTAGGAGCTAAATCAATTGTAACAGAAGTCAGAAGGCTAACTCTGACTGTTGAAGGAGAAACCAGTGTCATTTTTCTCTAACAGCCCCTCCCTATGGTGTGCCCCCTGCCTTATGTTACAGTTTCCCTATCTCACAAGTCTGCCACATGAACCTGCAAGGTTTGCAGTAGGGACACTGCTCAAGAATTTGCAGGAATGTGGCATTTCCCAGGAATCTGTTCATCTAGGAGACAGGAGACAAAATGAGGATCCCTGTGAATGAGGACTGGAAAGACAATCACCCCCAAATGTAGGGGTTATTCAGAAACCTGCCCAAACCTGTTCTCAGACCTAGAATGCCCAGGCAAAGCATTCTGATTGCGCACCCCTTCTTGTACTCATAATTCTCAGTGAGGTGAAGGTCTTGGCCTAAGGAAAGTGGCTTCAGTTTAGGAGAGGGTGGATCCTATATTGGACAGATACCAAGTTGAGGACGCTGAATGAGGGATGTGGGGACCGCCAACTCCAGAACAGTGCTGTTCCATAGAGACTCAGCCTGGTGGTCACCTTCTCAGGACCCAAACATCCCTGGCCTAATGTGGTTCACTCTTCCTTCCATGTGGGAGGTCTCCACAAAGAATGGAACTTGACCTGAGTACTGTAACCTCCGGTCAGGGAGGGTGGAATCCCACAACTTGCCAGGAGCACAGTAAAGTCCCTGAGTGAGGAAAGAGGGGATCACTTGTCCCATACATGAGAGAGCTTTACAAACTCCCACAATTCTTAACCGTAAGAAACCCCGGGGGGGAGTTAAAAGGCCGAGAAGCCTCCTCATTTCTGCCTGGTGATCTCAGGGAGGGAAGGGCTTTGTCTAACAGGATGGGGTCCCAGTTCTACAGAGAGAGGCTCACAGAATCCCGCTCCTGTTGTCAGGCTTGTGAGGGCAGATATCATAAGCAGTGTGCCCTGTATACCTCACTGCCTTCTCAGGAATGTGAGGGCTTTGTTTGGGGTCTGGCAGCCTCGAGTTAGTAGAGGTTCCCAGGCTCTGATAGAAACCAAGGTGCGGACCCTGAATAAAGACCTGCGGACCACCGGGTCCCACAGAGTCCCGCCCCTGCTATCAGCTGTTAGAGACCCTGGGTAGCCATAGCCGGATGGATTCGCCCAGACTTATTTATTCTTGGGCGTCAAGTATCTTAGACTGGCTGCCATTTTTTTCCGTTGAGGTTGGACTCCTGCACTGGTCTGAAGTCTAAGGTGAGGATCTGAGTATGGACTGCTGAGACCACGCCTGCTCCCATAACAAAAGTGACCCTACAAAGTCCCACGTCCGTAATCAGCAGTGGACGGTCTCTAAGAGCTCTCTGGCTAAGGTCTGCCAGGACAGTCTC